GAAATTAGTTATGCATGGCTGAAGCATGGGTTCTCTGATATAAATAAGATGGCTGCTAGCTGAAGAGGAAGAAAATCTTGGCCTTTTTAAAATAGTGAAAAGACTCAAGGTACCCTGGCTTAATGTTCTACAGGCTGATTAATAAAAGAGAGAAAAAAAATAAATAAAAGAGGAAAATGGAAGTTATTAATGAGTGCCAAATGGGATGGATTTTCAGGCTGCTCTTCATTCGCATTTGATGGTGCGCTCTGGGCTTCAGGAGATTTCAATGATCATTTGATTCTGTTCCCTGTTGCAGTCTGTACCTAGTAAACCCAGAAGCCAAGATACCTATTAAAAGCAAAAAGGAGTATGTTTGATTTTACAAGTTAGATATTCAGCCTGCAAAAAAATGTTCCACTGCTGTAATAAAAAATGTAACTGGAGATCTGCTGTGCTTAAAGAACATGTATTACAGTGTTGTGGTGACTTTTAATACTTTTTTCTTTGTGTGTTATAGTAGAAAAAGTACTTCTCCTGAAGGCTATGAGCTGCAGATCAGTCCAAGTTATTTTGAGGAAACATGTCTGCAGGTCTTTTTTGAAAACAAGCTGGTGCTTTGCTCACTGCTGGAGAGTTGTAAGGTTTGCAAGAGCTAACAGGACTCAACATTAAAGTGATGTATCTAATCATGCTAACATGCTTTTGGAAAAGAATGCTGAGGGTTACTACAAAGTTTTTCTTTGTCACATAACTCTAATGTGGAGCTTCAAAGCTAAGTGTGAGTTAGTCATGTGTTTATTTCTTTTAAAAGTCATTATTAATACAAACAGAAGAAAATATTGTGCATAGAGAGAGAACTGAGGGAAGAAGAAAAAAAGTCCTTAAGATTTATAATGATATTGTTAAAGTCCTTGCTTTCACCTCAGGAATTATAAGGCAAAAGATATCTGAAGGGAAATTAATTTGCAGGGAAGATACTAATTAAAATTGAAAAAAAAAAATAGGTACTCACTTCTTCATTTCTGCTTAAATAGATGCTTACTGTGTACATCTTCTGAATATGTATCTGCTGGAGGGCTTAATATGCTCGGTTATTTAATGTGAATCTCTTCAGCTGGCAAAGAACATTCACTCCAGAATCTTCTTTTTAATGTGGTAGCAGTTGTAGAATAAAGATTACCTGATCCTCTATTTCTATTCCAGGGAGAAAAATGCTTTTTTCTGTTTGCTGTTATTATTTCTCTTTATTATTTGGGGGGTCCAGTGTATGTCAGTTATAAAGATATGCTACATAATACAGAAAAGTTCAGCATCTTTTTAGTAGCTGCTCAGGGAATCAACTTTTATAGCTGTTAGAGTATTTGGCTATAGCTCTGCAAAAGCATAACTGTTTCCATCTTGAAATGTCCAGACATCATATGTCCTATAATCTGTATCAGTTATGGATAAAGAACAGAATATTTCTTCAGAAGTTTCCTTTATCACATAAGCAGTAGAAGGTAACACTTTTAAATTACTATTTGGATTTATAGATTTTGCATGCTGAGACTCAGAACTACAAATCTCTATATAAGTAAAAAAGTTTAATGCTTGTTTCCTCCAAATTAAATAATTTTTATATGCTTTCAGCAGGGGAATGTGAAGCCCTTTCTAGCCATTAAACAAATGACCAAAGAAGCACTTTATTTTTCCCCTGCTGTGTAAATTGGTGTAAATGGTTATTATGCATCTTTGTTCAAGGGTGAGATACAAAACCAGGTGCCTACAGAAATCATTATCCAAGTCCATACACCTGGAGGTACTGAAACTTCTGCAAACAGAAGATACAGCTCAGTTATTCTAGCGTAGGTTAGCACAGCTTCGGATCATTGCCAGCTCACTTTGCTCTTCTTTTACTTTAGAGAAGTATGGGATGGATTTGTTTTCTGGGACTTCAAGCATTGTTTCTTGTCCTCCACCCCCATCATTTATTTTGGAGAAGGAGGGGAAAGGGATTGTTTTGGAGTTTTTTAAGATTGTGTAAAAAAATAGCAATACTGAGACATGCTGTGTGTGTGACTGTACACAGTTCTGGAAGCACTTTAGTTCTGAACATAGATATAGAGTTTGAATACAGATAAACAACAAAACTTTAAATCATGGATTTTTTTAGTTTTGATTGAGACACCATATGAATTTGCTTCCTTACCTTGAAATCAGGTATGAATATGCTCCTCTCCTTGCATTTAAGCCCTCTCGTTGAGGTTATTCACGCAATTGGGTTAAGTACAGATCTGTTGGACTGTAGCTGCAAACAGAAACTGGGACAAAGCATGTTACTGAGCTTTGAAACCAGCTGAGACACTGGACACGGAAAAATTCCCTGTGGGTTCGATGTGCTGTGCACATGCTTTTAGAAGGTAGCTGAGAAGGCAAAAAGGGTAGTGAGAGTGAAATAGCTGATGTACTAAGTAAGCTGGTTTTGCATGTGTGTCCATAAAGTGGCAGGCACCTGGAATTTTAGAATGCAGACTGCATTCAGAATACCCAAAGCCAGCCCTTGGAAAATACAGAAACTCAAAAGAAATTCATGGAGATTGTGAGATTCATTCTCAGTTACTAGTTCTTACCAGGGTAAATTACATTTGCCTTTAGTAAGCAGACCTCATTAATCATACTGTTTCAGAAGCTTGGCTATTAAACTTCCCTTTGCTTTATAAAATAATTGCCAGGTTCATACTGTAAGGTATTAACTGGAGGAACAAGGCTATTCCTGCTTTGGGGAGCAGATCTTTTCAGCTTGGTACATGGTGCAAATAGGTATGTGGAAGTGCTTCAAATAGTCCCAGTGAAATGAGATTCATGCCCAAGTGTTTGCAAAGTCGTGACTTAGTGCCTGGACTCTGTAAGTATCATGTGTGTTTAATAGCACTTGTTCTGTCAAGCTGCCCCCATTTGTGGCTCTGTGGACCCTATGGGAGAGTGGCAAAAATATATAAATAACCTGTAAGCAGTAACTTTGCTGCAAAGCCCAGGTGTGAAAAAAATAAAAGAACATGGAAATTTAATTGCAAAGCTTTCTGAGATCCCAGTTGCCTGATTAATATGTTCACCATAACAGAAGGGTCGTACAGTACAGGCTGATATTCTCTCCTTTGTGCAAATTATAATTTAAAAATGTCTGAAGGGTTTTTGTGCTGAGGGAGGGAGAGGAGTTTTTTCCTAGGTTCTCTTTTTGTGAAATCCTATTTCACCCTCCCTTAAAGATCATGATGAGGATGGGGAAACTTTAGCATTGCAGCTAGCAAAAGACCAGGAGGTTTTTTTCTTTCATTCTTTAAATATTGCTTTGAGTTCAAATAAAGTCTCTGTTTCTTTAAGTAATAGGAAAAGGTTTTTTTGATCCCTATACTTTAGACAAGAGAAATCCCAGCTTCTCCTCTTTAGCCCAAGAGGCAGTAGGGGGAGTCATAATCTTCTGGTAATTTGGTTTCAATCTCCCACTTTGTTGTCTTCCACAAGTAAAATCAGGTCAGTCTCAGAGCTCATAGTGTGAGCTATTTAGATAATGAGAAGTTAGCACTTGGGGGGCTTTGGAAGCCTTTATTTCACAAGAGCCAGCTGAAATCAAGAGCCTCTTGTTCTATGAGATAGTCCATGATTTGCAGGCATGTTCTGAAAAGCTGAGACCTTCCAAGAATGAGCAGTATCTTGCAATTAGGAATGGAAGAATTCAGGCACTGATTTGTGCTCTCTGTATACCTTCGCACTAGTCAGTGATATCTGCTGGGTGAGTCTGAGGTCACATCCGGGTAACCGAGAGGACTTCATATAACTGGCAATGCTTTTGCTTAATGCTTTCAACCTAGAAGTGATAAATCAAACAGAAGAAATTAATTTTGCAATAATCATCACAACAATTACGTACCAGAGACATGAGTCATTGCAGAGCTCCTTCTGTTTAAAGAGCCCAGGCCCTTCTCAGCATCCTTCCTTTTTGGGAGAGGACGATTTTGCATGAGCCTCATTAAAAGGTAAAAAACCATTTATGAGCAAGTGCTTGCCCACCATCACCCAACAAAAGCCAGTGTAGGTCCTAGGAAACCTGCCCAGTTTCTGATTCCCCACAGTGCTGCAGTACATACAGTGATTTACACAGGACTGGAATGGTGGTTTCTTCAACTAATTCCCTAGGAGGCAAAGCAGGCAAAACCAGAAATTAGCTGCTGTGAATTGGTGAATCTGTGAACCCCGCATCCCAAAGAGCAGCCTTAAGCCTGCCTCTATGGCTAGAGTTGCTTCCATGCACATGGCCAACCTGAGTGTCCAGCCAGCTGTGCAGGAGAGGTCAGCCTGCATGCCCAATGGTTTGATGTGCTACCAGGGAACTCTTACAGCAACTACTGTCCCTGTGCAGGCTGTCTACGGGCTGGAACTTTGAAAGTGTGCATATTGTAGAAGACATCCCCTGTTGCAGGGACTTGCAAAATATCTTTCAGGAGATTTGGGACAAAGTGGATTTCTGACTCAATCCATACTTGTTCCCTGACAATTATTCGGTATTTCTTTGGTCTAAATATTGACAGTATTTGTCCAGTAGTGTCATAGAATGTAAATATTTGTAGAAATGCTCTTGGAAAAAGTTTTGTGGGTAAACCAGCAAGACTTAAAGGGTTATTTTTATATGATCAACATAATAAGTAGTGAGCTCCTCAGGGTGGCAATTTCGCTATTGCAAGATGTAAGTTACATCTTGTGTATGTGAAGCAGGGTCATTCCTTGGATGTTCGGTTGCTCTGGCACTTGATGAGCATTTATGAAATAGCACTTAGGGCATAAAAAATATCTTGACAGCCCTGAGTCAGAACTGGAAGTTTGCTTCCAGGATTGGAGAGGAAATTTGTCTTTTCTGCTTGCAGTACCTGGAACAGTTTGTGGAATAGCCATTACAAATTAAAGTCAAATCCAAGTGGTGCTAATGAATTAATAATAAACTATATTAACTAATGGGGCTTTTTTTTTTTTTTTTTGTCTCTTAGGAAGCAGAGATCCTGAATACAGCCATTCTCACTGGGAAAACAGTAGCTGTCCCTGTCAAAGTTGTCTCCGTGGAAGATGATGGAACTGTGACTGATCTTCTGGAATCTGTGGAGTGCAGATCATCAGATGAAGATGTCATTAAGGTAGGATCATACTGCTCCTTTACAGAAAGACAGAGGCCCTGCAAAACACATGTTCTCTAAAGTGACAAGTTCTCTCATTTTCCTAACTGTTCTACTGCTGGAAGATAAAAGCTTATTATTGCTGTTATGTATAGATTTGTTCAGTGGAACACTAAAACAAACACAAAATTGCACATATTCCATCCAGCATGTTAAATACTTGGAATTGTCTGTAACTTCCCACTTTTCACAACTCTGTGGCTGTCACTTGAGAAGGGGAAACGAGACACGTAACTACAAATAAAAGTTAAAATTGAATTTTTTATAGCATAACCAACATGTCACAAAATGATTACAAATACTACAGGCCACCCCTCCAGCTGCTGGAAATCACTGTTATCCCATTAACTTTTGTGAACTGCACCATATTGAGGACTCGGCCTTTGTGAAATTTGCCTTAGCCTAAAGCTGACTGGAATGCTAAGCTTCCACCTGGTTATGTTAGTTCATTTTAATTTGTATTCAAACAGCTCAGGGTAGTGTTCATCTCCAAAGCAAGCCTCCCTGGGCCCCAGTAGCTGAGAAAGACTCTTCCTAGTGTACGTTTTATGCCTTTCTAGACAAAGAGGAGTGTAGGTATTTGGTTGTTACTGTTGTATTAACTGATGGGAGTTTGAGACATAGATGCAAGATTAGTAACTTCCTGTCGCAGTGCCAACTTGGAGCAGGGTACTTGAAGCATAGAGCTGGGTGTAGGTTTAAATGTTCTTTGTCTCTAAACAGATTTTAAGGTTGGTTTGTGATGTTTAGGTTTGTTGGGGTTTTTTGTAAAAAAAGAAATATGCAACTTCTACACTCCTTAGACTATTGTTAAATAATTTCTTCATTATAATTTCTTATGCAGAAGATGAAGTCATGCACTTTTGAATTTCCAGCATTTTTTATGTTTCCCTTTTAGAATCTACTCAGGGTTTCTGTTTATCTGAATAGCCATCATGCTGGTGTTTTCTGATTAAATGTGTCCTTCTGGCTGTCTTAATAGTGACTTTTTTCTTGCTTCTATGAATTCCTTTTGAGTCTGGTAAATCTGCTGAATACAGCAAATTCTTGGACTGAATCTTGGTTTAAAACCAGAAAGAAATTATTTGGCATCCTTTTCTTGAATTGTGGAAGTTAACGGACTAAGTCCTCACTCACTAACTCATTCATTAACTAACTAGTTTTTTTCAGAGAACTGGAAGGAAGAATTTGAAAGCAAATATATAATTTGAAAGGTATTTTTAAAAGCATTTTTGTTTATATTCTAAATCTATTGGAATGATTTGACTTGCTATTTGCATGTTTGTGTAATGGTTTTGTCTGATATAAATCTGCGACAGTTTGTAGTATAAAACATGGTCAGCTCTAACCCTGGTAAAGAGGTTAAAATAGCAGTACTGCTCAAGTGTTTCTCTAGCATTAGTTGTAAGTACATGAATACACTACTAAAGGCTTGTGTGCTTAATGTTATTCATATATATACACACCATCTCACAGTGATGCTAATGACAGGCCCTATGTCAAACCAGGAGATCACTAGTCAGAGATCAAGACATTCTGGGTTTCTGCAAACTTCCCACTAGAGTTCACTCCTCTGCAGTAGGAAGGCAGGTTTCAGCAGCATTAAAATGAGTCAGCAGTTTAAAACAAGCACTTTTTTCAAAATATGTCTCCAAGTTTCCAATTTACCTGCTCTGTTTCAGGCCCAGCCTCATTCACAGACATCTTATCTAATGAAGATAGATATATAATTACTGGCCACCCTTTAACATGCAACAGTAATTACAGTTTCTGTTCTCTGGGCATTAGAGTAGTGAATATAAAATTGAAGAAAATATTTGCTTAAAATGCCCATTGAAATATGAAGATTAAGATTACATTTCTTTGTGTCTTTACTGTTGATGTTCTTCAGTGCATCTGACAGATTGATTATGTCTATGTGGCTTAGCTTTTAATTCTGGGTGGTTTTTTTTATGTTGATTAATGATGAGTTCAAGATAATTTTCCTTGCAGAACGAGGATACCTCATTCTTCTTTTAGCTTTTTGGGACCACATTTGTCAGTCACTTCATCTGGAACTTTAAAGAATTTTTAAAGAGCTGGATTAAATTCTGCACTAACTCGTTTTCTGCCAAACTGCATCTACTTGAACTTGGTCTCTTGAGTTTAAGCCAAGCTAAGAGTGATTTGAGATGTATGTTATGGTTTGATTGAGGCTAACAGCTCACCCAGGCAAAAGGGGGAAGCCAAGTAGTCCCCCTTTCCTGGTGCTTACTTCAGGGAATTAATGAGGGGAGAAGCTCAGGAGGAGAAAGGATTCTGCAACCAGAACAAAGTGGTAGAGTGGGAAGAGTGAGGAAAAAGCCTCTGTGTCAGAAACAGTGATCTACTACCCTGGCTGACCAGAATGTGCAGCATCACAGGGAGGTTGTTCCATGGATTTTGGTTCCTTAGTGTTCGGAGGATCCAAACAGAAGGTAAAAAGCAGATGCAATCAGCATAGTTTGTTGGATGATATAAATGAAAATACTTTCCCATCAGTGAATGGGATTTTGTACAGATCGAACATTTACACAGAAATGGTTGTGCAGGGCTGACTTATATGAGGAGAAAATAAATCTCTGCCTTGAGGGTTGGGTGAAGATCAAGTTCAATCTGCTGTGGCTTCCCACAATCTAACGTGGTTTCTCTCACCAGCCGAATTACCTTATTCCATTCCAAATAATTTTGACGTGTCTTGAAACAAACATTTTATTTAAGTCAGCAAATGGATGTTTTTCTTTTCTGCAGTGTCTAAACATTTTATTTCAATAGAAAATGATGAAATCATGTCCTGTCATTTCAACTCAGTTTCAGTATTCCTGACATCAGAATCCTTCTGAACTTTTCACCTTAGGATGAAAAAACTGTGAAAAATAAAATACTTTTTCTGATCTGCTCTAGAAATCAGGAGACAGGACAAACTCAGAAAAATGCACTATCAAAACTAAAATTTGTAATATTAACTGGACTTCAGTCCATGTGCTGCTGATGTTGGTTATAAAGGGAGCAGGAACAATTTTAATCACTCTCTGGTATGAAGAGCAGACATGGCAAAGATGAGCTCTGAATGTAGAACTGATATAACAGTCCCATATCTCCCAGGAATCATCTGAAACTTGCCTAAAGCTGTTTGAGTTACTGAATTTGTCTCTTTCATATTCCACCAGTTCATCATTGTGATGTGTGATCTACACAGGTAAATTATTTCAAGTTTCATGTTTTATATGTTGGGGATTTTTTCCCCCTGGAGTTGGAGAAGAGGCTGTTTTTAAGAAAGTAGCTTTGAAATCCAGGAAAAGCTTGATCAGTTTCAGAGCCTGAGTGCTTGCAGGAGCTGACTGAACAGATCTAATCACCTGCAGAACCCAAATGATTAATGTCCCTAGTGTGTTAAACAATTGCTAAGGTGCGATTCTGTGACTGTTTAACTAACATGGAGCTGCCATCCCTGTCTTTCTGCTGGCCATGAACACAGCTCAGTAAAAATGAATCAGTTTTGGATTTTTTGGTGAATGAGCTGTCTGCCCAGCTGCTCCCTGACTTTGTTTCAGCTGTTCACAATACTTGTGCCAAAACTAGGGATGAAGTGACATCTGAGTGTGAATCAGTAGCTGAGGGTGACTGGTGACCAAGTGTGCTTCTTTCCTTTGTATGTTTACTTAAATGACATATGAAATTATGGCTTTGCACAGGCATTCCCATGCTGCCACTTCATTAGTCTAGTGCTGCTCACGTAAAAGGCTAATCCTGTGTTTGTCTGTGAAGTCCCCCGTGAAGATGCTCAGGAACTATGGTGAAGATCTTCCAAGTGCCTCACCTATTTCTGAGTGTCAGATTTGTACAGCAAATAATGCCCATGTAGGAATGTCAAAATCACTTTGCCTTTCAAAAGGGATTAGGAGTCTTACTCTTTTTAGCTGCCGTCAAAGCCCAGCTCACTGTATACTGAATCCCAGTATTGCAAAGTGCTCCATCATCTCAATGAAAAGAGATTGGTTGATCACTAGAAAAAGTGTGCTGAGGAAATAAGGAGCAGACAAGCTGAATACAAAGGGAATTAGCCTTTTTCTTTCTTCCACTGGGCTAAGCCAGCAGTGCATTACTGAAGCACATAATGTTACACTGATATAAATGAAAGATAAATTCGGCTCAGATGATCCAATAGCACCTGTCTCCAAAACAGGGACTTGCATGAATCATTATAAGTTGTGATTCTTTGTCTTAAAAAGTTCCCTTTAGCTTTAAAACTACTTGTGTTCTTCAGTGACTGTCTGCCACTTTCTTTTAGAAGATGTGGTATTTATAGCTCTTTGTGCCTGCTCTAAGCCATCCTTTAGATCATGACACAAAACTCTGTGTTGCTTTATTACCATGCAGTAAAAAGTTACAATATGCCATAGGAATTATTGTCTCCTCAGACCAATATAAGATTTTTCTGGACATATCAAGTACAGTGTAGCCAGTACATTATTTTTCTTTTGCTTATCATTTGCAGAACTGTCAGATATTGTATTAAAAATACATGTGACAAGATATTTTGGCTGATTTAAATATCCTTAGATCCTGTTACTGTATCAGTACTATATTGATTAATATTAGCTGAAGATTAGGCTGGTGATCTGGAATTAGTAGAGAAACTGCTGGTCAGATCTGAAATATCCTGCATATTAGCTATGGGATACTTGAAGGATTCCTAGAGTTCTCAGAGACAGTTGGAAGAACAAGGGGCTTATTTAGGACATACATATATGAATGAAAAAGAGAGCCTAAATGTGTTAGAAAGGCTAAGAGGTTGGAAGAACATAATGAGCCCAGGGCTTGAAATCACATCCAGTACTCTCTTCATTGATAATGAAGAAAGGAAGTATGCTCTAGTGGTTAAATCTGGGTTTGGATTTTAGGCATTACAGATTCTAATAAGGGTTTAATCTGCATACAGT